TGTTCACTGCAGCACTATTCACAATAGCCAAGATGTGCAAACAACCTAACTGTCTGTTAACAGATGAACTGATAACGAAAATTTGGTAGAAACATACAATGGAAGATCCTTCAGCTTTTAAAAAGAAGGAATACTTCAATACGCAACAACAGGAATGAATCTCGAGGACGTTATGCTGAGTGAAATAAGCCAGTCCCAGCCAAACAAATGCTGCCTGATTCCACTTACGTGAGGTATCCCAATAGTCAGCCTTGGGGCATCAGAGAGGGGAATGGTGGTTGCTGGAGGCTGGCAGAGAAAGGGAGTTACGAAACCACTAACCAATGGGCATAAGGTTTCAGTGGAGCAGGATGAATAAACCCTACAGATCGGCTGCACAGCATTGTGCCTATGTTCAGCAATAGATATTGTACACTAAAAAAATGTATTAAGAAGGTAGATGGTAAGTAAAATAAACAGTAATATAAATAAACAGTAAGATAAACTTAATTTTTAAAAAAAATTTTTTTAAAGGAAAAACTGGGAATGGGCGCCTGGGTGGCTCGGTCAGTTAAGTGTCTGCCTTTGGCTCAGGTCGTGATCCCCAGGTGCCTGGATGGAGCCCCGCTCAGCAGGGAGCCTGCTTCTCCCTCTCCCTCTCCCTCTGCCCCCCCCCCCCCCCCTCCTGTGCTCCTCCCCCCCCCAAATAAAATTTTTAAAATTTTAAAAAAAAAAAAAAAAAGAAGAAGAAGGAAGAAAAATGGGAAGGAGGGAAAAAAAAACTTCACTTCCATTGTGCCCAGCAAAGGGGTAAAGGGGGGCTTGGCTCCCCCCTAAATGGCTGCTGCTTAGAGACACCATGTTTTCCCTCTCTCCCCCCTTGAATATCACCCCACCACCCCCATCTTCTCCCCTGTGATGCTTCCTGCACAAAGGCAATGGCAAAGTGGGTCTCATCCAGAGGCAGTCCCAGTGATGCTAATAGAAAATTCAGGGTTGGGAGCAGTTGGAGAGAGAAGAGATAAACATTTAGAATGATTTTTAAAACATCCCAGTAGCCCGACCCAAGGACTGCTTTCATATGTCTGTCTCCAGTTATCATCCCACCTCTAAAAGGGGGCTAATGATACTGTTAGGATTTGAAGCTATTAAGTAAATTAAGGCCAAGTGCTGGATTGCTGAGTTTTATATGGGACTGCTGAGTTTGAGATCAAGGCTGGGGGGACAAAAATGAGAAAGGAAAGATTCTAAAGAGACCAACTAAAACAGTGAAGCAAGCCTATGGCAGTTGGCGTGGAGAATTCCTGAAGACCCTAGAACTTCCAGATGCCAAAAGCAGGGAATAATAAAAAAGGCTGAACAGTTAGAGGCCAGAAGCCTTCAAATTTGAATGAAGTAGACCAGTCACTCTCAAAAGTCAGTATTCAGAAGTAACTCCCCTGAGGAGCTCTCAAAAAAAATTGCAGGTTCCTGGGTCTGCTCCCTGTGGTTCTGATGCAGGAGGTCTGGTATGAGGCCTGGGAATCACATTTTAATAAGTATCTCGGTTCTCTCTGAGCAAATGGTGCAGGTCCACACTTTGACAAACACTGACGGCCATCCCCACAAAGTCAGATTCAGTTGCTCTGTGGATAACGAACACTTTTCTTCGGCAAGGGATTGAAACGGAAGAAACAGAACTTTTATCCTTAAGCTTGGTAAATGTTCAGGATAATTAATAGGGATTGGTTACGTGCTGGAAAATGAAGTATTCATGTACACACACACCACAGATTGGGTAAAAAAATAAATTATGTTCAGATGATTTAGTAGTTCTCTGAGATGGAATAAATTCGATGGCTGCGTGAAAGGCAACAGGCAAACTATCTATCACCTGAAGTTAGCAGCTAAGATAATATTTCAACCACCCATCTTGAAAGGGATGCTTGGACCAAGAACATAACAGGACAACTACATTTAGGAATATAAACCAGGAAGGGTTAAACATAATCACATCTGAAAGATAACTATTACTACTCCACATATAAACCCAGGAAGAGGTGGTGGGGCACAAGGTGGCCTAATATTTTCATAAATAACTTGAAAGATGGAGTGGGGATTATGCAAATCAAACCAGAGAAAACACAACAATGGCAGGGATTGCAAATCTGCAGAGGATGAAATTCAACTACGGGGCAATGCCTTTAAATTTGCCTTTATTGAATCTTGTATATGGAAGTCACATATTATTGTATCTCTTTATTGAGACTCAGTAGGGCTAAATGCGGAGTGATTTATGGAAGAAGGAATAATCAAATGCATTAAGTAGAAAGGAGCACGCACCTGGCGAGGCATGGGGTCAGGACAGGCCCTGCATGGGAAGTCGTGGACATGGTGCACAGGGCAATGGGCGGGCCAAGTACTTCTGTTCTCTACAGATACGGGCTGTTATTAAGAGCCGATGTGTAAAATAAACAAGAAAATGTGTCGGTTACTCTTGGAGTTGCTTGGCCTTGGTGTTACTTCCAGTGGGAGTGCTGAGCTTAAATGTAAACCTGGAAGGGAATTTAGAGCCAGGCCATCACAGAGGTTATGGGATGTGGCCCTAGATAAACCAAGAATACAAGGGGATGTGAAAAGCGTCTCCAAAATAGACAAAATGCTCAGTGTGCCCATTTGTTGGGAAAAGATGTGCAAAAGATAAGGAGGCCTGTAGGAGAGAAAAAAATGTAGCTCCTATCAAGGAAAAACAATCCTTCAGAGCACAGTTGGAATCATGGAAGAAAGGGTAGCTTATGGTAACACCATCCCTGGGGACACTCAAGGAGGTGACCAGACACCTCTCTACTTAGGATGCATTAGAGATTATTAAAAGCATTCCTTGCTCAGTTCGGGGGTGGAGGGTGGGCCTCATGACCTCTCCAAAGGTCACCCCTATCCCAAAGGATCACATGTCTGAAGGGCACCAGATAAAAATAAAGTCTATTAATCACCAAGCTGCCACACAATTTCCTACAAGAGCCAGAAGAGACAAGGGCAATCTACGGTGGACCCTGGTCCCCTGAGGGAGAACAGAGGCAGCGGCTGTGTGGGCAGAGCCAAGGAATCAGCTGCTGAGACTTCCAGAAAGCCAACATCAGGCCTTCGTGTAGGCCTCCCGAGCATCACAGGGTAAACAGAAGGAGGAAGAGACCGTGGGGACAGGGAACGGAAAAGAGCCAATGGTCCTGAGAGCCCCTAATCACAGCCACAGGAACTGGGGTAGAGGGTGCAATGCAAGCACTTGGTGCAGCAAGAGGGGAGCCAGGCAAGAGAGGGACACCCACAGAGGGTGCTCCATGGAGGTAACAGGTGAGGAGGCAGACAGCAGACAAAGGAGTGAAGAGAGGAACTGAGAGGTGGGTGAAGAAGGGCATGCGGGGTTATGTCTGGGAATATATGGGACTATTGGCTGCAAATCCCATGAAAATTGAAGAGATGGAGCAAAAAGTAATCCCACTAGCTATGGAAGCAGAAAATCACATCACAAAAATAAAGCTTTTTAAAAGAGGAATCAAATGGCAATGCCCCGGTCCCAAAGCAGCTGTTGGCTTTCTTGAGGGCTGGGCTGCTCCAGCCATACACAGCTGGAAAGCCTGCTCCGAGGGGGTCAGAAGGACCCTCCCAGCCCAGAACCAGTCCCCAGAGGGCTCACACAGCTAGGGCTTCTGTGCATCCGAACAAAACAGAGGCCCTTCCAGGAGGGCAAAACCCAGGCCAAAGCAGGCACCTCCTGACATCACCAAGAGACACCAGACCCCATGCCCTGCTCCCTCCTCATCCTGGAACAGAACCACCGTGGGATGGAGATGTTACCTGCAAGAGTTGTCTCAGGAATGCCATCTGCACGGTGTATTAAGCAGCCAAATGGGGGTCATGGAGTTTGAGTTCTTCTAGCAAAATGTTCTCCAACCAGCTGTCACCCCACCGGGCACAGAACAACTTTTTGAAATCAAAAGAGGCCAGTGAAGAGGGAGGAAAAGGGCACCACCCCCGATGTGCTCCCTGAGCCCCATCTCCCCCACTCGCCCTCTGCTTCCACAGAGACCGCACACATTGCCAGATGCCGGCAGAAGGAAACACCGTGCCAGGGCCCTGCCTGAGCCACCTCGCTGCCCTTCTCCCGTGGCCCAGCTCTGCGTCCTCGGAGGGGAGAAGACATGAGGGGAAGATGGTCAGGGAGTGTGGTTTCTAGGGTGGTCCCTGCTGTGGAACGAGCAGATGGCGCCCCGTACAGTGAGAGGTAACTAGGGCAAGGATTTTCAACCCACCACCCAACGCTCTGGTAGGTGAGAAAGACAACAGCGTCTGAGCTGATAGCAATCCCTCCGAAAGTTGAAGGTTTCTGGAGCTACACCCACTGCCCCTGCTCCCCGCCCCACTCTCCAGCTCCTCCCTCCCCAGCTCTGCCTGCACCGCCTAGACCCAGGAGCCAGGCAGTCCTTGTCCAAGAGATGCCTCTGAAGCAAGCAAGAAAGGCTGGAGATGGATCAAGGGCCATTTATTAAGCTAAGTCAGAGAAAGGTTCCTACCTTGCCCTACCTAGGACAGGAGAGACAGAGGGAAATGAAAGGGAAACACGAAAAGCCAAAGGAGCCAAGGACCTTTGTCGGAGGATTTTGAGTTATGCTTTTGTTTGTAACTCTCTGAAACAGAGAAAGAAATAGAGGATGAATCTTCAGGAGACAGAGAGAGAGAGAGAGAGAGCACGCCAGGAGAAAGCCACCGAGGAGGCGCTGCCGGAGACAGGAGGCTGGCACCAAAGGCAAGAGGCCTCCCTGGCTGGCCCCCCCTCATGCACAAACACCGGGGTGGGCGAGCGGTGGTGGCGCGGCAACAGGAGGTGGTGCTTTCGCTGAGGCGGCAGGCATGCAAGCTGGGGCGCAGGCCCAAGGGGAGGAGCCAGTGAGCCTGAGGCTGGGGGCATGACAGCCAGGGAAGCACAGGGAAGGGGGTCCTGGGGGCAGAGGCAGGGGCAGGAAGGCGGCACCTGCCGTACTTACTGTCACAGACGTAAGGTTTGTCGTGGTCTTCCTGGGAGGCAGCGTCGTGCCTCCTCCTGCCACCTGCCGAGCCACGGGCCTGGGGAGACAAGGAAGCAGGATGCTTGTTATGGTGAGGGCCACTGCGGCTCCTGAGCACGTACTCTGCGCGGCCCCGAGCACCTCACCCACATCTCTTCATCCGGCCTTCCTCACAGCCTTTGAACCAATGACCGACCCCCTTTTACAGGCCGGGAAACTGAGGCCCAGGGAGGTCAGGTAACGTGCTCCAGAACACTCAGCTACTCACCCACATCATCTCATTAAATGTTCACAACTCCAAGAGAGGTATTACTTTTATTTCCATTTTACAGATCAGGAGACTGAGGCAACAGCAGTCTTGCCCAGGGTCACTCTGCTAAGTGCGGAGCCAGGACGTGAACTCACAACAGTCTGACTGCAAAGTCTACATCTACCCAATCCCTGTACTCTGTGGTTATCACAGGGACCTCCTCCTCCAGCTGCTTAGCCACCTAGCTTCACTGACCCCACATGGAGAAGCTCACCCTGCTCCCCTCAGCTGACCGGATGATGGCAGATTGCAGCAGGGAGTGTGACAGCAACCGTCACCCCGAGCTCTCGCCCCAGGCTCACACTGTCCCCTTCAAGTCTCTCAAGGGCCAGCCAGGCCTGGCATCCGGTCTAGGGCATGAGCCCAGGCACAGCAGGGAGCACCCTCACCCCTCTCCCCTGCTCCTCCTGGGGGTGAGCTTCAGCTGAGGCCTCCCGCCAGTGACAAAGGCCTTGACACCTCACAGTCTCCGGGGGCCTGACTCCTGATCCCACCACCCTGCGTGCATCTCCAGAAAGAGCCAGCATAACCTGGGGTGGGGGTGGGAGCAGTTCCACGTCTGAGGATAGAGGAGAACAGCCAGAGAAGGTGCTGGCAGCTCTGCAGGCCTGGGACAGTGGCTACAAGAACGTGGCAAGGTTTATTTTTAAACCTTTGTTAAGTCCCACGTGGTCACGTGTGTAGCACCCTGGCCTCCTCCAGGTCATTCTCTGGTAATGAGTAGCAGTAAACTCCCAACCAGGGAAAGGGCCTGCTGAGGTCTTTGGGGACAGAGAAGGAGTGACAGAGGTGAGAACTAAAACATGGCGGCGGCCTCGGGTGCAGGGGGAATGGGGCAGTCCCAGGGGCTGGGCCTGGACAAGTGGCCCTGGGGACCTCAGGGCCAAAAGACCTGTGATGCTCACACACACGCACGCACAGGCACGCACACACACTCACTCGGGATTTCACAGCGGAAAGGCCTGTACCCCAGGCCCGCGATGTTCACACGCTCTCACCAAACACGCACTCTTCACAATCAACACCACCTGCCAAGCTACCACCTACACCACCTCCTCAGCTTGTCTCTCTCCAAAACAATTTACAAAATTCCACCTCCCTCCCTCCCTCCCACCGCTTCGCCTCTCTGCCTCCCCACCCCCAGCCGAGCCCGCCACAGCCAGCAGCCCCGCCCCCGGCCCCGCCCCCGGCCTCGTTACTCCGAGTTGACCCGAAGGGGGAGCCGTGAGACGCTGCGGTCCCCCCGCGGGCACTGACAGGCCTCCCCGCCTGCCCACGAAGACGACGACGACGACGGACGGGGAGGGTGGTCACCCTCAGCTGCCCTCCCCCCTCCTCACGCCCCCGTGGTGAAGCCAGGGACAGCTTGATGTGTGCAGCCCGCAGCCGTGTCAGAGCCGCCTGCAGCAGGTGAAAGCAAGTCAAGCAGAATGACGAGCCAACAGCAGACGCGGGGAAGGGGCTCTGAGAGACTAAAAATACCGCCTGGGATAAGAGGAGAAGCCCTGGAAGCACACACTCCTGGGGGAGCCGCCAGCGGGAGGGGGAGGGCCCTGCTGAGAGCCGGGGTTGGATTGCACTCTGCAGGGCTGACCAGCCCCGTCACTTCCACACTCTCCCTGCACCTTGGTTTCCTCAATTGCAAAATGGGCACGGGCAAGGGACTCTTCCTGCGGCAGTGGCACTCCTCTAGTCTCCCAGAATCGCTCAAACTTGGACACTCAGAATCCCGCTAGTTTGCTCAGAGGTCACCTCCTCAGAGAAGCCCTCCCTGACCAACCTAGATCCACTCATACCCTCTCCATCGTTCTCGTTCCCCTGCCCGGCTTTGTGTTTGGTCCCAGCACTTAGCATGGTCTGACATTACATTATACATGTGGTTGGTGTACTTGTTGATCTTGAATCTCCCCAACAAGGAGTGGAAAACGTCTACTTGAGCCACACTATATTCAGAACCTGGTACGGGGCCTGCCACTTAAGACACACTTAGTAAACCTTGGCTGAAATAATTGGTCCATCGGTCAGCGAGTCCGTCATCTTTGGTTCTTCTCCTTCATTCCTTACAGCCAAGCGCTGTTGTTTCTTCCTTCAAAGCCCATCTGAGGCTTTGCATTTTCCTTCTGTTCCACATTTTAATCCATTGACCCTGAGCTGCTCGAAGAACCCACCAGCTGGGGTTCTACCTCTGCACTGCCCTTCCCAATCCACTCTGCATGACTCCCAGATCAATTAGACCAAGGGAGTGAAGGACAGAGCCCATGGTCGTTCACTCATTCATTTATTGCCATCTAAAACCCACTGACACATCCAACAGCAACCTAGTGCCAGTACCATCAGGTTCCCCTCATGCTCATGCTATGATCCCTGTCAGGGACCAGCCTTTCCTCTGCCACCCACACTGGTGCATGCTTTAACCCCCCACCAAAATCCCACTCCTCCAAGAGCTTTCCTCTTGCCATATTGAGGAGTAAAAAGAGCACAGCTTTAAATTCAGACAGGCATGGGTTTGAACACCAGCCACGTGTCTGTAGACAAGTTACTTCTCTAAGTTTTCATTTTCTCAACTGTAAAATGGGCACAGCAACACCTTTAGTGCAGAGTTGCTGAGAGCGTTCGCAGAGTGTGTGAAACCACAGGGGACATCGCCACATCCACAGGAAGTGCTCGATAAATTACTTCCCCTTCTTGCCCAAGCTGATCTCTTCTCTCTCCTCTGAACTTTTATTGCATTCGGTTAGTGCACAGGCAGAAGCCTGCTGTTTTCTAATTGTATCATGGCCATTCGCATTTTCTCCTCAATTTAATCCCCAAGGTTCTTAAGAGCAAAGATGGCATTTCATACTTTTATTATGAACGCCCAACACTTAGATCTATGTTGGGCACATAGCATCCCAAGCTCTCTCACATGTATTCGTTCAGCTCATTCCTACCATACACCGTGAGTTACAGAAAGTAATAGTATTCCCATTTGGCCCTTGATGAGACGGCCTCTAAGGAGGTTTCTGACTTACCCACAGTCACAGAGTCAGTAGAAGAAGCAGGACCTAGGTTTCCAGACTCTATTCTGTAAAACTTTGAAGCTGACTGTCCAAAAGAAACCAGTCCTCCCTCTCTGAGAATTGTCCACCCCACTCCACTCCTCGCCACCTCACCCCACCCCACCCCACCTCCTATTCAGACACTGGGAAGCCAAGACAGCCTTGATTATACCCCGTAGCCTGGCCCCACTGGCCACAGTTGATTGGCTGGCTCAAAAGTGGTCACATGACCTAGGCTGGGCCAATCAGATTCTACCTCCAAAGCACTTGGACTTGGGGCAGTGACTCCAGTGCGTATCGGCACTTAAGCTGGGAACCCATCAATACAGGAACTATGGAGCCAGGGGCACAGAGAAGCAGGCAAAACAGTCTTCTGATAGAAAAATAAAGAAGGAAGAAGTAGAGGCCACGAGCCGCCGAGGTTCCTTATTCTATCCCAGTCCTAAGTCCCTGCCTGCCGTTTTCTTGCCCTTCCTGAGGGTTGAAACTTCAAAGATTGTACCGATTTGGGGCACTGACCCAGCAGCTTTTCAAATACTCCCCATTTTTGCTTAAGTGTTGAGTTTCTTGCAATTAAAAGACCCTTGACTCGGACAGGCTCAGAGAGCTAGTTCCTGTATAAGAGTTACACAGAGTTATACAAGTTATACTTGAGAACACTCAAGTAATGGCCCAGGGATCCCCAGGGATCCTTGAGACCCTTTCAGGGGGTCTGCATCACAGTACTAAATAGTACTAGAATGTTACTCGAAACTTTACACTTTCATTCTCTCACAAGTGCACGGTGGAGTTTTCCAGAGGCTACCTGACATGATGATGTCATCACTCTGTGTGCTGGTGTATTCTGAAGATTAACATTTTTTTCTGCTTTAATTTCTAATATGGTACGTGTCACTAGTTATAATCCACCAGAACAATAGCTTTTGGGGGGGGCTCTCTCAGTAATTTTTAAGTAAAGAAACCCCCTGAGCGCCATAGCTCCCCATCCTTGCTATTTAGAATGTGGCCCTCAGACCAGCAGTGCTGGAATCACCTGGGAGCTTGTTAACCAGACAAACTCTCAGTCCCCCCCCAACCCCCAGACCCACTGCATTAGAATCTGCACTTTAACAAGATCACCATGTGCTTCACATGCACAGTACACTTTGAGAAGCACTGGGCTGCACCACAGTGCATCAATAAATAGTTCCTGATTGATTGATTGACTGATTGATAATGCTCACATGGATGACTTCCAGGAATTTCATGAATTTTAAAGAGCTTGGATTCCTTGGGCTAAAGCTAGCACAGACACAATTATTAATTGTTGGGTCTGAATTGCCCTCACCCCTCAGGGTATGGCCATTGTCAAAACTCCAAGAGCTGTTCCCTTTGCAACCTCTGAACAATGTCTAGCCTTTACTAAACACTCAGAATTGGCTGGGTATTATTCCTCCCATTTTCATGATGAAAAACTGAGGCCCAGAATATTGCTGTAATTTGATCAAGATGATGCAGTTACATAATTCCCACAAAGTCTAGTAAATAGTGGAGCTGGGATTTGAATTCATGGTTCAAACAGGGCAGAGGCTGTTCTTGGAATCACTACCTTACCCCTGGCTTCCTCAATGAGTGCACAAAGCACCTGGGGGTCTTGTCAAAGTGCAGACTCTAATTTGGTCCGTCTAGGGTAGAGTCCAGGGCCCTGCGTGTCTGACAAGCTCCCGGGTGATCGCGAGGCTGAGGTCCAGGGACCACACATTGAGGTGCTGCCTGTCAGTCCTGACAAAAGAAATGCTCTCCAGGAACCAGAAGCAGCCTGAACATACCACTTAAAAGGGTAGCTTAATTGAGGCTGTGGGTAAAGCAGCTTCATGCTTGTATTCCAGCACAGGCAGGCCCACGCACGCCCTTCTAGATCATCCCACGGCTCCTACCATGGGTGACATGTCCACAGTGTCACTACCCAACATAGAGCCATTCAGCTGGCCCTTGGCCAGCATCAGGTAGGCCCTGAGCTAGTCTAAGCTCCATCCAGCTCCCTCACTGTGTTCAGGCCTTCTTTCAACTCCCGCAAAGTTGAAATATAGCTTTTCTTTCTTTCCCAACACTCAGTCAATCATTCAACAAGCTGGTCTTTAGCCCATGATAGGCACTGGGCCAGGCACGACTCCGTGACAAAAGCACAGACCTGCGTTCGAATCCTGACTTCTTTACTAGGTTAGATGACCTTGAGCAAGTTACATAATCTCTCTGGGAGTAATAATACCAGTGTATGGGAATGAAACAAGAAGTGCTGGCCAACAGAAACATAACGCGAGCCACACACATCATTTTAAATTTTCTAGTAACTACATTTTTCAAAAAGAGTAAAAAGAGAAACAGGTACAATGAATGTTAATAATATAGTTTATTCAACCCAATGTATTCAAACTATTATCATTTCAGTACATAATCAATATAAAAATATTAATGAGATGCTTTGCATTCTTTTCATACTAAGTCTTTGAAATCTGGTGTGTATTTTACCTTTACAGCACATTGTAATTTTTTTTTAAGATTTTTTATTTATTTATTCATGAGAGAGAGAGAGAGAGAGAGAAGCAGAGGGAGAAGCAGGCTCCCAAGGAGCAGGGAGCCCGATGCAGGACTCGATCCCAGGACCCCGGGATCACGACCTGAGCCGAAGGCAGACGCTTAACCATCTGAGCCACCCAGGCACCCTACAGCACATTGTAATTTGACCTGGCAAAATTTTAAGTGTTTGGTCACCGCATGTGGCTAGTGGCTGCCAAAGGACTCCTCCAGAGTCCTCATATCCAAGCCCAAGGGGCTTTTGGTGGTCACCCTCAGGGGTCTGCAAGGGCGTCTGACAATAATTTCTGCCCTGAAATCAAGAGTGCAGGACAGAAATCAAGAGTGCAGGACAAAGTACGTAGTCGTCACCCTCGACGTGTAGCTCTTGTTGTAAAGAGCCCCAGCACGTGGCCTGGTATCCAGTAAGTACACAGTGAGACCCACTGCTGTGTTCTTACAGAGGAGACACCTAGCTCACATCCAGGCATTGCCGAGTTCAATCATCTAGATTTAGGTTGGGAGTGGAGTGGATGTAAAGAGGACCATTCTCCAAAATCTAGCTGAGTGACTTAGGTTTGGGCTGAGGGACAGGATGGAAGCAGGCCTGGAGGCACACTGCTCTTGAGTTCACAAAAGGCCCAGAAGTTCTAAAACCTCCTCCAATGATGGAATTAGATGTTCGTTATTTTGTGGCCCCCAGTGAAGTCATGAGTCTAGGCATTATCGACGGCTGCTGAAACAGCTGGATGAAAACTTGATGGGGAACCTTTTAAGGAGAGATCAGGCTGACAACACCTGAATCCACTGATCCATTCCCCCCACCCCACCCCGAGACCAGAACAGCTGGACAACATGTACCTCCTGATGTGATGCAGTAAGAGGCACAGGAAAGGTCCTTGCCTCCCCCCAAAATTATTTACACACATGAACAAATAGCCTGAGTCTAATCAAGTCTCTAGTCAAACCACGAGTTTCCAGAAGATAAAGAGAATACATTAAATACCACCTATCCACCAAATTTAGAATGTGGGGAATTCTGCAAGACAAACCACCCAAGTTCTTCAACAAATAAATAGCATGGAGAAAAAAATATGTGTGTGCATGGTGGGGCAGAGCAGAGAAGCGGTATGTCCTAGAATAAATGAGGCTAAAGTTTCAAACAAGCCCTGTAAAAAGGCATTTTTGAGAAAATCCAGGGAAATCATCAGGGACTGGAGTGTAGATATTAGAAGAGCTGTTGTTTTTATTGGGTATAATAATGTTACTTGTTAGAGATACATTGAGGTATGTGCAGGTTAAATGATATAATGTCTAGGACTTCCTTTCAGATATTCTCCCAAGAACTGAATATACAAACCAACAAAAAGTGGGAGTAAAGAGCAAATACCACCAGCTCATCGCTGAAGCTGGCTGGCCACTACAAGAGGCATGCAGTGTCAGAGGGCTGCCCTGCCCAGCCTGAGAAATGCCAGCCCCTGCCAACAAGTCAGAGCATCCGAGCTCAGTGCGGGCAGCACTGGACCACTCACACCAGTCACCTGGTTATTTGCTTATGATACAGCTTTCTGGACCCTACCCTAGACCTCCTAAATCAAAACTTCTGGGAGTGGGTCCTGAGAATCTGCATTTCGACAAGCTCTCCTGGTGCTTCTGATGGATACTTAAGTACAAGCAGCACAGGAATAGAGAGGCGGGCCACAATTAGCCCTGGACCCAAACCTGCAAGGCAGCCGTGGAGAAGAGGGGTAAAGGTCCTGCCTAGAGCCTGGAGGAGCCAGAAGGCCCAATCCTAATTCTCTAGACGCCACACGAACGTACCCCTGGAGGTCCCTCTCCACCTCATTATTATTGTCAGACGCCCTTGCAGACCCCTGAGGGTGACCACCAAAAGCCCCTTGGGCTTGGATATGAGGACTCTGGAGGAGCAACCCGCATGCCTCAGAGCACTGCTCAGGCTTGGGTCCCTCCCCTCAAGTACCGCTCCCATAAGTTGTATAACTTCCACCATGGATTTCCCCTTGGCCACACCCCAGGCTTCTGGCCTCCTCTTGCCACATCCGGGGCCCACACCAAAAGCCCATGCCCTGCCCACTTGGAAACCATTAGCTGTGGCCCGTGCACTCTCCCAGAGTGATCCTACTCTCTGCCTAGTGAAGCACACCCTACAGCAGGTCTTTCTGGGGCAGCCCCGGGGACAGGAAAATGCAGCCTTCTTTCGGGACCAAGTAATGGGTACAACAATCACATTCTCCCCCTCCCCCACCCTCTCCGGACCCCCACCCCAGCCCTCCCAGGACCCTCATTGTCCCCTCTTCTTCTCCCTCCGGCCAGCTCTAAACTCTTACAGGCTATCACCTGGGACCAGAGCTCTTCTGGGGTTCTTCCTCTCTGAGAACTCTTCAAGAGAGGCCATGGGTATGAGAGGGTATGCGGTGGGACTTGGGGTCTGGGGCCCAACTGTTCTCGCAGCCTCAGCCCCCTTTTACCCTGCGCCCCCCTCATGGCATCCCCGGCTTACCCGTCCTCGGGTCCTGTTCTTGCGCTTGGGGATATCTTCTTCTAAATCTTCTTCTTCGTTTCCTTCTTCTACATTTTCATCATTTTCCAAAACCCTCTGAAATGACAAGAAAATAAACAGAGGGGTTGAGAAATAAAATGCAAAGGAGGAAACCGTCAGAGGGCAATTTGAGGGAGGGGCGGGAGGTCTGTTTTGTTGTTGTGTTCTAACAAAGTGAAGACCATTGCTGGGGAAGCAGAGCCTCCGAAAGGCTGCCCAGAGTCCGAGCTCTTGGCGGTAACAAGCCTCTCAAACCCCTGGGGCCCGTCCAGCCTGATCCTCCCAGAACACTGGCTTTTTTCAACTCTTTTTACCCAAAAAAAACATTTCCTAATAAGAGAATACTCTGGTAGGGGCGCTTTTCTATGTGGACCCAAGATGTTTTTCAAAACCCACATTTTTAATGTAATTTTCCTTTTGTTCCTAAATATGAAAATACGTTCTTCCTTTCTCTGCCATTCTGGAACCCTGCCCTGTTTAATGAAAACAAGTAACTTCCTGTTCATCTGACCAGAATTTGACATTAATGCGTTGGTTCTTAATCATCCATTGTTTTTTTTTTTTTTTAAGAAAAATGGATTTTCATTACAGCACATTACTTGTAATGAAGCTTAAAGATCAAGAATTTAATTATCTCTTTCCAACAGATCTGTGATTCACACAGCAGCAGAGAATCCAGTTTCCATTTTATAGGTGAATAAACTGAGGCTAAAAACAGTTGTAATTGCCCAAGGTCATACAGTGAATCCATGGCCAAAGCCAAGTCAGGTTCATCAGCTCAGTTTCCCGGTCGTTTCTCAGCTGTGTGTCTGAAGATAGAAGTAGAAGAAGATAGTAGACCCTTCCTGTAGGGACCTGAACACTTTGCTCCCTTTGCAGGGAGGGGAGGGCAGGTAAGGTGTGTACCTCTAGGTTTAAGGGCAAAATGAAAGACTGTGGCAGAGGACCCAGCTCCCCAGACTGAAAGTGGGATAAGGAGAAGGGGCATGGAATTCACCAGACTCCACGTCAGGAGCCCTTTATGGACTCACTGTGCAACCCTGGGTGAGTCATCATCTCTTCATGCCTCAGTTTCCCCAATTATGAAATAGGAATTCATTTATTCATTCAATCAACAAACATTTGTTTAGTGCTGACTATATGGCAGGCACCGTGCTAGACAAGCCCCAGAATGACTACAGTCCTTGCCCTAAAAGGACGCTACAGTATAATGAAGGGAGGACAGATTCAAATAACATCCACAACCATATAGTTACAACGGCCATAAACACAGTGACAGGCAAGTGCAAGCTGCTACGAGAGGCAATTAGAGGGAATTTTACCTAATCTGAGGGTCAGGAAAGGCTTACCTGACGAAATAACCCAAGTGAGTTGACATGTAAAGGATGAGCGAAGACTAGCCTTGGGAATGGAGACCAAGGGCAGGGAGGGAGGAAAAGTGTTCTAGGCAGAGGGAACAGCATGAGCAAGCTCCCTCAGGCAGGGAAAGGAACATGGCTTGTCCACATTGCAGAAAGAGGCGAGGGTGACTAGAGTTCAGTGACTCAGGGAGAGATTGGCATAAGAAGAGGCTAGAAAGGAGGGCAGGCACCATATTATACTGGATAACAGCCCGCATTAGCATCCACCCATGCTTGTGATGGTGTGACAATGACACAAGCTATGAAAAGGCTTAGAAGCAGCACACGCTGTACCAACATGTGGTATCATCATCACTGTTCAAATGGCCTCCCAGACAATGCCTCTGGCCTGTCCTCCAAGCAGGAAGCCCAAGAGTGAGTTTCCAGGGACCTTCTCCCACTGCCTTCTTGTCAGAGTTCTCTCCCAATCACAGGAGTCAGGACACTGCGGATTACAAATCCTCACACGGAACTCAAAACAAGTCTCACAAATTCTCCTCCGGCTCCTCTCTACTCGGCTTACTTGGGAAGCCATCAGCTGACAGCACACGGGGGGTTCTGGGCTGACCACAGCCATCTAACAGAGAAGTAGTGCTGTCTGCTAGACACGCCCTCTGGCCCATAGCCAGGAAACGTTGGCCCAGCTCCCCATCAAGCCTCCTAGGCTCTCTGCACCTTGGCTTCCTGAACCATAGGTGGGAACACAAGTGAAAGTCAGGCAAGATGATGACAAGTCGAACACTCTGCGGACTTCAGTGAAAAGATGCTGTATAAATATGAGGTGTTGTTGTTAGGACTGTTGTTGCCGTTCAAACAGCTGTCTCGCCCACTTCTGGGTCTTGAAGTCATTTAATCATGGTGAGTTCCAAGGGCCTCGAATTTAAAGGTCATGGCCTCTGGCCTGTCATACAACCTGACTCCACTCTCATTTTTTATCATGTAGGTATTTGTGACCTGCAATACGGACCCTGGGTGGGAAGGGAAAACCTGGTGAAGGTGACTGAGCTAGTCTCCAGCAGTGCCCACCGCATGGCCTCAAGGTTCGGAAGTAAAGGGCCTTCTCCCTCCATTTCCCATTGGTCTCCCTGCGTCTTGAGAACCCCTAGTCTGTGCCCCTTGGCCTCCAATGTGACAGCACCCACCCCAGTGTGTTTGCGTTTCCTGCGACAACGTGGCCCTGATACCCAGAAGCCTCTCTACATAACCAGGGAGGAGCCAAGAGTCCCTAACAAACAAAGCGCTCCTTCAGGGCTCAGGAAGCAGACGGGGCGCCCTGTGTAGAGGAGCCAAGGGGGGGGGGGTCCAACTAAGATGCAGCTGATCCCCCACTAACATACTTGCATTCCCTGTCCAAGGACATTATCTGGAAAACAAACACATTTTAAAATAACTTTTCTCCCTGTTACTCTAAACAGTCTTTACAGTGACGATAACAATTGTTTGTGGTTGTGTTTAAAAAAGAAGAAGGAATGCCTTTAAAAGACTCCATTATCTCTAGCCTGGAACGCTGCAAAAACCTCCTAACTGATTTCCCTCCTTCTTCCGTCGGCCCTGCGTCCAGTCTCTTTTGCAGGCAGCAGACAGAGGGATCTTGAGGAAACATGAATTCACTGCCCTTGTTAAAATGGCTTCCTTCTTCATTTCCATGAAATCAAGTGCCTCTTCCATGTGCTGAGAGGCCGGAGTGGTCGGATGTGGCCCAACCCTCCCGCTCCACCCTAGGCCCATCTCTCCCTAGCACTCTGCTCTAACCACACCAGCCTTCTGTCTTTCTTTTTTCCCTTTTTTTCTTTTTCTTTTTATTTATTGAGGTATAACTGACATGCAATATTACATGAGTTCCAGGTGAAGAACACAGTGATTTGACATTTGTAGGCACCGCAAAATGGTCACCAGTGAGTCTGAGTACCATCTGTCACCCTACAAAATTAATATAATGTTATTGACTACATTCCACAGGCCGTGCATTACATCCCCATGACTTATTTTATAACCAGAAGTTTGTACTTCTTAATCGCCTTCACCCACTTCATACCCTCCCAACCCTCCACCTCTTTGGCAACCACCAATCTGTTCTCTATATCTATAATTCTGGGTTTGGTTTTGTTTTTTAGATTCTATATGTAAGTGAAATCATACGGTTTCTGTCTTTCTTTGATTTATCTCACTTAACATAATGTCCTCAAGGGCCATCCATGCTGTCGCAAATGGGAAGACTTCATTCTTCTTAATGGCTAAGTAGTATTCCATTGCATATATGTACCACATTTTCTTTATCCATCCATCCATCAATGGACATTTAGATTGTTTCCATGTCCTAGGTATTATAAATAATGCTGCAGTGAACATAAGGGTGCATATATCTTTTTGAACTAGTGTTTTCATTTTCTTCAGATAGATACCTGGAAGTGGATTTGTAGGTCATAGGATGGTTTTATTTTTAATTTTTTGAGGAACCTCCATACATTTTCCATAGTTGCTGCACCAATTTACATTCCCACCACCAGTGCACGAGGGTTTCCTTCCCTCCACATGCTCACCAACACTTGTTATTTTTTTTTTTTTTTGTCTTTTGATAATAGCCATCCTGACAGGTGTGGGGTGATCTCACTGTGGTTTGATTTGCATCTCCTTGATGATGAGTGATGTTGAGCATCTTTTCATGTGCCTGTTGGCCATCTGTGTGTCTTCTTTGGAAAAATGTCTGTTCAGGTCCTCTGCCCATTTTGTAATTGACTTGTTTGGTTTTTTGTTTTTGAGTTGTATGAGTTCTGCACCTTCTGTCTGTTCTTTCAAAACTACAAGCTCAGACCTATCTCAAGGCCTTCAAGCACACTGTTCCTCTGCTCAGAAAGCTCCTCCCCACATCCTCACTTCACTTGCTTTTTCTCATCTCTTAGGACTGAGGTTAAATCCCTTTATTTCCCTTAGGACACTACCTAGAATCTGTCCCTCCTCTTTCCTTAATCTTCATACTCTGTTCTTTTCATGGTCATTTATCCTGAAATGCAATTATTTCCTTTGTGTACTTGTTTTCTGTCTGTATGTCATACTAGAATACAAATATGAACAGATGGGACTGCTCTCTCTCGGTTTCTCTGTCTCCCCAGAACCTAGCACAGTGCCTGCTCAGAGGAGACACTCAGTAAACCTTGGTTGAATGAATGAACGATAAAATGAACAAATATAATCCATTTACTACATGTATACTTTATTTTAATAACCAAAGCCAATAAGGACACGTAAACTCATTTGGCTTATGGTCCTGGTTTCAGCTTCTAGCACGGAAGATGGTAGACCCATGCTCTGAACGTAGTAGACGTTCTGTTTATGTCGGGGACGATGGTGATGGTGATGATTTCATAGTGATGGCTTATGTATTGGCCCAACACTGCCTGAGAGGAACTTGAACCCACCACCAGCTTGAAAGAGTAAGCTGTCACTAGAGTGTCAGAGCTTCGGGGCAATGGTTCTGTCCCACCCACTGATTCAGTGAAATTACACTAACTACACAATACAGATGGGACACACCTTAACTTCAAAGACCTGCAAAGTCCAAAAACTGGCGGAAAGGTGGGAGGGAACATGAATAAGGAAAAAAACAAAGAAGAAAGGACGAGGCACCCTAAATGCCAGTGACAAGAAGAATCCCTCTGGCTGTGGGACCATCAAGAAAGGCTTCCTGGGGAAGGTGGCACTGGGGCTGGGCCTGACTGATGGGTGGAATTTGTGCACATAGAGTAGAAGAAAAGATTCCCCAGGTAAAGGACACAGCATGATCACAGGCACATAGGAGAGAAGACTGAAGAACGGCGGGGGAGGGAGGGGCACAAAAGTGGGAGAAAATAAGTCCGAAAACTAGGTTAGGAGAAGGGTGAGGAGGCCCAAGAAGATCACATTCATCATTTTGGATTTACCTGGTAGGATACAAGCGTTTCAGCTAAGTTTTTTAAAGAAGGGATTGGCACAAGCAGAGCTTTCTTTCAGGATGAAAGATCAGCTAGCAAAGTGGGACATGTCAGAGAAGGGACAGACTGCCCTACGGGCCGACCCCCAGGAATCTTCACTCATACATCCCTTCAACAGATGCTTACTGTGCACCTACTACGTGCTAGGTACTGTTTGCATGCTTCAGATATATTAGTGAACAAAACAAAGCATCCCACCCTTGAGTTTACATTCCACTGGAAGAAAACAGAAAATACCCAATAACATAATCAGCAAATTACAAAGTATGGTAGATAGTGATCAAAGCTATGGGAAAAAAGAAAAAGCAAAGGAAAGCAGAGTAAGGGAATCAGGAAATGTGGAGGGCGGGGAGGGCACAGGATGCAGTAGTACACACAGGGTCAGGGTCAGCTTCATAGAGAGGAAGAGACACAAACTGAAGAAGGTGAGGGTGAGGGCCCAGCTGATGTCTGGGGTGAGGACCCTGCAGGCAGAGGAAACAGGCCGAGCAAAACCCTGAGGCAACAGAGTGTATTCTAGAAGGAGCAAAATGAGGTCAGTGTGCCGGCAGCAGAATGAGCAAGGGAAAGGCCCAGCAACCGAGTCAGAGAGGTAAGAGGGCCTTGACTTTTATTCTGGGGGAACAGGGGCCTGTGCCAGGTTTGGGGCACAGGATCCAACTTAGGTTTAAAGGGCTCCCTCTCAGCCATCAGCAAGGGCATCATTTAGAAAGCAGTTGCAGTGCATCCGTTCAGATGACAGCGGCCAGGACCGGGGCAGTGCAAGAGGACATGGTAAGAGGAGCCTGAGCTCTGGATCTGGGTTGTAGGCACAGCTGACGGGATTCCTGATGAACCAGATGCTGGGTGCCACATTAAGGCAGGAGTGGCCGACGACTCCAAAGTGCATTAGGCACATGGAGGTTACAGCGATTAAGCACCTTCACGAGGGCCGTAGCTCTGAGGAGCGGAGGCAACCATATAAGCCATGCTGTCATATGGAGAGACCTGAGCACTCATCTGCACACAGGGATGGCAGAGGAGGCAGCCAACCCAGGGCTTCATCCTACATCTTTATTGAGACTCAGCTCTACCGGGCACGTGCAAGGCCCCAAGGGGACAACGGTGAGCATGACCGCATGGTCCCTGACTCGATGGAATGCACTGACCGGTGGCACTCATGAAGCAAACCAGAAATGTAACTGTTATTACTTTAATTATCACGTCAATAAATGAATATGCAAATACTAAACATTATGTTAGCTATGCAATTAATAAATATATAATACATGATAGGTATCACATAAAATATAAAGTATAATAAAATATACATTTAATATCAATGTAATTTGATTTTAATAATTGAATTGTATTTAATTTTTAATACTATTGTTTAATATTTATATTACTATTACTACAATACTCCATGCCAACCATTGTATTCGACCTCAGCGATTCAAGACGAATATATCAGAACCGGTCAGAGCGCACCATTATGATCTTGAGTAGCGAGGAGCCTCCGTAGTGCTGGGAACAGAGGGCAGGAAACCAGCAGGGACAGGAGCCACCAGCCCCGCCTGGAGGGTGACTCCTCGACGGGGCCTTGAAGGAGGAGAGGGCGGTGCTGTGAACTAGAGCTGAGGACGGGGTGTGAGAAAGGCAGGGGCTCACTGGGGTCAAGCCGGTGTAGACGACCCCGAGGTTTCAAGCCTGAACTACGGCCTGCCCGTTCCGCGGGGGTAAGGACTCCGTTTTGCTCACCATCGAGTCCCCAGGCCCTAGCCCGGCCCCTGGCACACAGCAGGCTGGAAAAAATATTTTTTGAATGGCTACATGGGGACACCAAGAGAGCAGTGAGGGCTTGTTCTGGAGGACAGGTCACAGTAGGAAGGTAAGTGCTAGTCCCCCAGCAGCCTTGCACGCGACGGCCTGGGAGGAAGAGCCGGTGCGGGCCTCCCGGAAGCACAGCGCCGACTCCCGGAAGCACAGCAACGACGCTCGGGACACATCCCCCATGGCGGGTGCGGAAATACCTGTATCTCCTGCATGCTTTCCTCCTCTCTGGCATCCACCTTCTTCTCCACACCCTCACCCCGGAGCAAGGCTTCCAAGGTGGTGCTTTCTGAGGTGAAGCCATCCTTCTTCAGGGGCAGCTCCACTTCTGCAAAGTAAGGACAGAGAAGCAGGGTCAGGCCATTAGAAGCAGGGGGAACAGGAGGACCAGGAGAGACACTCAGGAGCTGGAGCTCTGGGTAGGGCTAGAGGCGGCCTGCGCTCTCTCCTCTGGGTGGAACAGGAACCCCGGAGCTGGGTCCGGCTTTTCCATCTCCTGTTCCCAGCCCCGGAGACAGATCCCAACCCTGCCCAAAGCCTCATAGACAGCAGAGGCAGAGCAGGAGGGCACCAGACAGTGACTGTGAGCAAGGCACTCAGCGATCCCAGAGCCCTCTTGTGCATCTACAGAGCGAGGATAACAATACTCAGTACCCCATAGGGCCATTTTGTGGGGTATAAACATGTCCCTTTACATGAAAGTACTTTGAAAACTCTACAGCAATACACCAATGTTCACCTCAAATCTTAGTATTCTCTCCCTCTACCCCAAGTTTCATCTGGCAACTCCATGACCTGCCCTCCGCCATGCTGGCTGCCCAGCTCCGGGTTGCTCTATGGGAAGCTATTTCGACCCCAGAGAGGCTGTTCTCATCAAGGGATACAAAGACCACTAAAGCCAAGGGAAGAGAAGAGGGAGCACAGATGCCTGACCCCAGCTCAGTGGCTGGGAGCTGCAGCGCCTGCACAGCAGGGCACTTTTTCTGGAAATGTCAGAGTTTGCTCGGCTACCTGGGGCTTGAGGTCATGGGGCCAGCTGAGTAGTGGCAGCCAGAGTCAGCCCCATCTGAAAGAGACCAGAGAAAGAAGCCAAACTCCTTTCTCAAGATACCCCCCCCAAACTCTCAACCCAAAGGAAGATTGTTTTTGTTTTTGTTAAATTAAAAGCAGAAACCTCAGGTACAGGTGATCCTATTTTGATTTGCTATGAAACATTCCTCCGATCTCTCCTCTGATCCTGTACCTCATACCCTCCGGCAATCAGATACATGGCCCCTATCCTGTTACCAGGTAAGATGAATACAAGATTCTGAAACAAATAACGCAACATATTTTAAGAAAAAAGAAAAAGAAGAAGATAGCAGGAGAGGAAGAATGAAGGGGAGTAAGTCAGAGGGGGAGACGAACCAGGAGAGATGATGGACTCTGAAAAACAAACTGAGGTTTCTGGAGGGGAGGAGGGTGGGGGGATGGGTTAGCCTGGTGATGGGTATTGAGGAGGGCACATTCTGCATGGAGCACTGGGTGTTATGAACAAACAATGAATCATGGAACAGTACACCAAAACAAATTATGTAATATATGGTGATTAACATAACAATAAAAAATCTAAAAAAAAAAATAAAATACTGTAATAAAAAAATAAAAAAAAAAAGATGAATATAAGAATAAGAATATGAGGGATTGGTGCCCTAGAAAACAGCCAGGGGAAGGGAATGGCCCATGTGTATGAGGGAATTGAGAGTTGAGTGTAGGGACTATTTGCAGCAATGTGAGCAGGAATAAGGGAACTACATGGAAAGTTGAAGCACCCCTGGGGAGTTAACAGTGGGGAGCCATTACCACTGCTGTTCCTAGAGGTACAGAGGGAGAGCGTTCGCCAGAGCCTGGAGAGATCTGTGGCTTGCAGCCTCAGTGAGCTCATGAAAAAGAGAACCAAGGTAAAGAGACGCATGGCCTAACCTCTCTTTCCATCCTTGTCTTCCTGCTCTGCTCTCCCATTGGCCAACCTCAATTAGAAGGGCAAGGGGGCCTTACTGACAGAGCACACCAAAACCAGCTTCCTGGGGCCCAAATTAGGGCCCCAGGGTAAAGAGTGGATGGGGCAGGGGCAGAAATGGAAATAACCAGCACAATCAAGCCTTGCTCTGCTGGGCTTCATTCCAATTCAAATGGAACTCTACCAACCCCTCTGTCTCCTCAGAACCAGATGCAGGCTGGCCAGTCCACAAGAAAGGGGCACTAGGCTATCTCATTAAAACTGAAGAAATCCACACCTACAAGTGACCAGCCCCCAGAAGAAGATGGTGGGAAGGAGAAACTGTATCTGAAGTCCCTTGAGAGACAAGGTCTTTGGCAAGCAGAGGATCCACCTCCATTAAGAAACACTACCACCAAATCAACCACCCCTGAAACTCATCCACACTCCTATTCATTCAACAAATGTTTACAATGAACCACTGTGCTGCAACCAGGCACCCTGGAGGTGTACCAGATAAAGACAGTCCTGGCCTTAAGGTGGTTTACAATCTAAAGAGACAGACATTAAACACTGCATAAAAAATTAATACGTAATGACAAACTGTCATAAGGGCGACGGAGGAAAACACAGAGTGCAATGTGAAAGGAGAATACAGTGGGGGGTTTGCTTTAGATCAGGTGGTCAGGGAAGGCCTAGGCGATGAAGTTACATTGAAGTTGAGTGTCAGGAAAATAGTCCACTCTCTGCTTTAATGAGTTCAGAGCGTGCAACTCCAGAGCCTGCTCTGATGGCGTATTACTCTTTCTCCCAAGTCAAAAAAAGGCTTGCAAACATCTAATATAAAACAATTAAAGTATGTTGCCTCATGTCCTGTCCTCAGTCAAAAGAGGCTGGTCACCATCCTTTAAACTTACAATAATTATATATATACATATATATATACATATATTTGAAGTTCATATCTTAGTATTCCCGTTAAGCCTCCCAACACTAAATAAATCCTATTTCCAGAATCGCACAGCATTTTAGAGCTGAAAATAGCCTTACAGATCATCTGCTTTAATCATGTCATTTTATAAATGAGGGACTGAGGCTCAGAGAAGTTCAGTAACTTCACAGAAAACCACACAGCAGAACAAGAACGGAGCCCGGTGATCTTTCTTAGATGCCATTAAGATCAGGATGAGGCCCCACTCGATGCATCCTTATTAGCAGTTTGCAGGCCCAGGCTCAGCCCCAGTGGGCACTGATACGTTTGTGTACATGCAGAGTGCTCAGCACACACGCAACGTTCAAAATGCAGTGGCTGTTATTGCTGTGTGTTGCTTAATCCCCACTACCACCCAAGAGGCGAGCACAGTTATTGTCCCATTTCACAGTTGAGGACGCTGCAGCTTAGGGAGGTGTAGAACTTGTTTAATATCACACAGCTGTTTGGGGGCAAAGCCCAGCCTTGGCCCCAATCTGCCCCCACAACCCATTCACATACTCTCTAGCTTGTACAGACATCGCTTTGTCTCTCTCTCTTTGGTTCTTCCTTAAAAAGTCCTTTTCCAAACCTTTGTGCATTTCCGTTGCATCCCTAAACTCTCTTCACAATTTTCATATTGCAAGATAAAAGACAGCTCTCTGCTGAGGCTGAGGGCAGGTCTGTGTCGTGGTTCTGGGCTCTGCTGTATATGAACATCCCCATGTGGTGTTCACCCCTTCGGCAACAGGTCAATGACCCCACACGGAACTTTGAAACCACTGTGAACTTCCTCCTCCTCCTCTTTCTTCCTCCCCTGCTAAATATTCCACCATCCTGTTTTCCCATAATTCAGTCTACTCTCTTTGGTCCTCTGGTCGTTTACCAGATGGGCACAGTAGAAGCCCCGAGAGAGACAAAAGAACCAAATTGGGAACAGTGAGATGGTCTCTCTACATGCAAAGAGTCAGAAGGGACTTCCAGTAGCATCTAGAGTACAATCCCTCAGGGAGGAAAGTGTAGCACAGCACGATATGGAGCCTTTCCCAGGGTCACGGAGAAACTCCGTGGCATTATCCTTGTCTAATGACCAAAATATCTGATGGGCTCGTAGAAGTGCTGCTTCCAGATAGCCCTGGAGTCAAGCTCTAGCCCGGCCATGTATTAGTTAAAGGACTATGGGCTAGTTCCTTAGACCTTTGAGTCTCTATTTCCTTACATGTTAAGTGAGGATGATCAGAATATTTCACAGTGTTGATGCGAAAATGAAACAAGGTGATATGTTGCATAAAGATACTCTGAAAGATCCACAAAAAAACAGCACAGAAGCATGGAAATGGAATGGAAAATGAAGCGTACCAATTTTTGTTTGGGTTTTGGTTTTTCTCTTCAAAACTTATAATTCAAAATTAGATCATATATGAAAAGAGCCTGGGATGGTCCAAGTGCCCTATAAATGCTACAATTTATTAGTGTCGAAGTTAGAATAGTCCTAATTTTAATGGTACAGTAGTACTGTCCAAAAGAAATATCATGCAAGTCGCTTACAAAATTTTAAGCTTTCCAGCAGCCACATTTTAAAAAGAGCAACAGGTGCAATTAATTTTAATATATTTTTTTCTAACCCACTCTGTCCAAAACATTATCATTTCAACATGTAACGAATATAAAAAAATTAATTTGATATTTTGCATTCTTTGATTTGCATTGAGTCTTCAAAATCTGGTGTTTATTTTTATACTTACAGCACATCTCCATTCAGATTAGCAATATTTCAAGTGTTCCATAGCCCCATGTGGCTAGTGGCTACCATATTAGTGCAGGTTTCTACCCTTAAAAGTAACATGTACTATGATTTTGTTTCCCCAAAAACGGAAGGATATGGTTCTTCATGTTGCCTTCTTCATACCTGGCTGAGCACCTTTCCAGGACAGCGTTCTAGCTGACCACTGACAAACCCTGGTTTCAAAGCCCTCTGGGGAAGGCTTGCAAGGTCAGAATGACAGGCTAACCAGTGCCCTCCCAACAAACCAGCAGAGGGTACATTCCCCAGCCCCTGACCACAGGAGGTCCCGGAGTGAAGGGAAAAACAAGGTAACGGGTCCAAGCTCTTGCACAACATACGTCCTAGGCATGCTCCCTATTGAGCCCTCAGGGATTTCATTGATTGTTTTATTCTAATACATTCCATCTAGACATAGGATTTAGTCATTCTTTATAAGTGTTCTCATTCTGACCCTTGCACAAATTTGGGGACCACATCACCTGACAAGAGCCATCAGACATTTAACATTAAAAGAAAATGGTCCAAAACCCACACATAATTCATCTTTAAATTAGCCTGATTTTATACACAAGGATATAAACCCACGGATCGTTA